GGCTGTGGGCCTTTCCAGGGGGCGAGCTTCCAGCCCATCAGTCCCAGGCAGTGCACCTGTTCTAAATCTGACTGTCACTCTTCCACCCACAGTAGAAGGCTCGCTACAGTCGGTGAGCTTTCCGCGACCCTCTCACCGGCCCCAAAGCACACAATGTGTCCGTGTGACACACAGTGGCCTGAGGAGGAGGACGCTGGGCACAGGTGGAGAGAGGAGCCTGCCTGGGGCTCAGGAGGTGGTCTCGGGTGGTCAGGTGGGAGCTGGGGAGGAGTGAGGAGTTGCATGGAAGAGGGTGGGGGATCCCAGGCGCCTGTGACCACATCCCAAGGCCGGTCCCACTGCTCCTCCACAGCGGGCAGCATTACCGAGCTGCTCGGCCCAGCTCCCCAGTCCTCTTGGTCAGCCCAGAGTGCCCGTTTTGGATGCAGTACGCGAACGAAGATGACACCCCTAAAGGGCTAATGCTCGAGCTGCCGCGGAGCAGGCGTCACGCCTGTTTTCACCCTTGTCAACTTTTCCCACGGTCCAAAATCCAGAGACCCCAATTTCCTTGTGCCGGAGGCTTACGAGCGCTCGATATTGGACTCACTCACTGCTTGGGGGCAGGGCGGAGGTGGGGGGGGGCACAGGGCTGGTCTCTGAGTTCCCTGCCTCTCTGCAGGGCTGTGTGCGCTGGGGGCTATGAGTGGGTGGGGGTACCTTGTGGTTTTGGTAGGAGGTCACCGAGATGAAGGAGGTCTCTGGGAACACGTGGGTGCAGAAAGCTGTGTTTTTGGAGCCGAAAGCGTTGTTCTCGTCTGCCTTCACAATGTGCAGCCGCGGCTGGTACTTGTGCATGGAGTTGAGGATGATCTGGAAGGGAAGGGTTTCATTGTGAGCTCCAGGATCCCACCCTCTGCTCCTTGGCTTCCCTCAGCAGGCCCTGGACTGGCTTTCATTCTCCCCAGATCCCAAGTCCAGGGCCTGACTGCCAGGAGATAGCCCAGAGAGCTCCTGCAGCTCTGGACTCAACTTCAGCCTCCAGGAGCCCCAAGGACTCGCTGGTGTTATGAGCTGTCTCACTGGGGCCATGGAGGTCAGTCCTTAACCATTTAGATGGTCCTAGTGACCTCCACGCAGGAGCCCTGGTGGTGTCCTGGTTACGCATTGGGCTGCTAACCACAAGGTCAGCAGTTCAAAACCACCAGCCACTCTGCAGGAGAGAGATGAGGCTTTCTACTGTAGTCTCAGAAACTCATCGGGGGCGGTTCTACCCTGTCCTATACGGTCCCTATGAGACAGGGAGTTCGATGCAGGGAGTTTGGTTTGGGGTGACTGCAGTGCAGGGTCGCAGGGGGACTCCATAGTTTGCGGTCAACTCTTGGGTGGGTTGTGGGGCATGGGTTCATCACTGTGGGACCTCAGTTTTCCTGTTTGGGAGACAGGACCGTGATATATAACTTCCATCCCTCGGGTTTTCTCCGCCAAGCTGGTCTCCCCTTGCCTCTGCCTCTCACCTCCTCCCTCTTCCGCTCTCCTCACCACCCATGCACCTCCTAGAAATGCCAGCCTGAGCCCAGCTCTCCGCGCCCGCCTCCCACATTTCTCAGCAGCACGGGCTGCTTCGAGGCTGGGGCTTTGCAGAGTAGGGGTGGGGAGAAGCTGAGGGACATGTCCCCCTCCGCCCGTCCCTGTAGCCACTCACTGTCTTCTCATTGTGCGCATCAACAGGGGCCTGCTGGCGAGGACAGGGGAGACCTGGATGCGGCCTGCCCTGCAGACATGCCCAAAGCAACCCCCAGCCTGGAGGAGCCCCATCACGGGCTGGAGTTCAAAGTGCAGAGGTAAGAGATAAAGGTCCTAAAATACTGCCAGAGGTCCAGGCTTCCAAGGTCCCTTGAGGACACAGGGGGGCTGGGTGGGGGAGAAGGGTCCCCCCCAGCCAAGTCAGGCTTAAGCATAGAGCACAGGGACTTGGCCTCAGGAGCTGCAGGGAGAAACACACAGTAGTGGCTGCCCCAAACCTGCTCCCTGCGGCTGTACCCCACGGTAGCGGCTA